CCCCCCCATGAACCCCAGTGCACTAGAAATCACAGTAAACACACACGAATCCCAGAAATCCCATTTTCCCTAAGCAGTTCTGCTTGGAAACACCTCAGGCAGCCCCACAGATGGTTCTTATGGTTTGGGACGCATGTCCCATCCCAGGTCCTACCTTCTGGAACACGGGGGGGCTCGGCAGGGGTGGGCCAAAGGAGGGGACATCTTCCCGCGCCGTCACTGACACCTGTGGAGCAGAAAAGTCACGGTGGGAACAGCGGGGCAGCTCCAGCACAGACATCGCTCTCCTGGGGGGCAGCAGGCATGGGTGGGTGATGCTCTCCCATTCAGCCCAGCTCAGCCCAGTCTGCTCTTCCCCATCAGTCTCCATTCCAATCACACAGGGGTTAACCCTGCTCAGATTTTTACGTTTACTTGCCATGAATTCTGTTTTCGTTTGTAGATCTAAGCAATGTGCTTCCAGTTTGAACCATTACACCTCACTGGATCCCCTCACAGAAAACAGCAATAACAGGGGTTCATGCTACCTGCACAGCGATGTTTATGGGTGTGAGCTGTTCTGAGCCTTATCTGCATAGTGTGGCATCAAAAACCCTTAGCAAATGAGCAAGCTACTATACACACACGTATTTTATACACGTATGGAAGCATACGCACACACTACGCAATAGTGCATAGATAAATATGTGTGTATGTTTAATACACACTCGCCTACACCAGTGAGGTGTGATACTGGTGGTACCACGGAGCACGGGGCAGGGCAGCCGCCCCACGCCACGTCCTGAGATGCTGAAGCCGAACTTGGCCCACGCGAGCGAGCTCCCCTCACCCTGTACGCCGCGTTGTCGGCCTCGGGGTTGTCAACCTGCACCACGATGTAGGCATGCAAGAAGTTGGAGGCGATCATGTCGGGGACGAAGGGCGTGTTCTCCTCCTGGAAAATGATGGCCACGATGTCGTTGCCGATGTGCCGCTTCCTCTGGAGCTGAGGGAAGGGAAACCCTTTGGTGGGTGACGTCGGGCGGCTCAGCTGCCTCAGGAGTGAACCCCATGGCGCCGACACTGTCGAGGATGCTGCGGCACTGGGGATCGGTGGCTCTGGCACCGGCCAGGGCAGCACCAGCGCATCCCGGCTCCGGGTGCAAGGGAGCCCAGCTCCTACCTGTTGTGTGTCCCCTTCGGTGAACGGCAGCTTTGTGGAGACATGGAACATTATCTCCCTGTCCCTGAACACTGTGTACACCGACTCTGTGCCTGTCTGCCCGTGGCTGACATCCAGACCTCCTCGAAACCTGGGGACGAAGGGAAAGCCGGGGAGAAATGAAGAAATATTAACTGAAGGCTCAGCAGAGGCTGCTGTCAGGAGCCGGGTGACAGGACAAACCAGCTCATTTATCTGTATCTGGAGGAGAGCAAATGGGAAGAGCAAATCCTGCATCACTGCTGTAACCAAGCACCAGTGTCCCCAGCCCGGGTGTGCGGCACAGCCGTGCCCATCAGCTGGGGCTGACCGCAGCCGCGGGTGCCAGCGGTGCCGGGCAGTGCCACGGCTCTGCCCTCAGCCTTGCCAGCACCGGGTGCCTCTGCCTGCGAAGGGGGCACGTGGCCACATGAAGCGCCTTTCTTTGATAGCCAGATTTTGTCACAACTCAAAAGTGCAGGAAAGGAAGTTTTTCTCTCCTGGCAGCTTCAGATTTTTTTTGGAAAACTCCCTCAGCTTCGGAAAACAAGCCAAAGCTATATTTACTTCTGTACATCCTGCTCATGAGTGAGATGACTTCTGTTCTTGCACGGTAGATATTTTTACATATGGCACGGTCTCTCGCTAAATGTGTTTGTAAAACCGTTCCTTTTATTTAACTTACCCTTTGAAGTCCTGGAGCGTTATGGTGTCTCCCAGGAAGCTTAAGAAGTTCTTGAAGGCGGCGCTCTCTTCATTATTGCCAAACAGCTCCTCCTCTTGGGTCTGCAAAACACGGGGCGCATCCTCTGAGACCCCCAGCCCCGCTGCCCCCAGCCCAGCGGGGGGAAAGGGCCTGGCCGTGGCCCCACCACCATCTGAGCCGCATGAAGCCAAAGCCACCGTCCCCAGCAGCCACTGCATCCTTGGGGACCCCAGCGCTGTCCCTCACTGGCACCACCATGCGTGGCACTGGCCACGGGCTGCCCATAGCCCACTTGGCCACCGCGGCACCGCAGGTAAAGGTGCTGGGAGGGACTGACACCGAAGGACCTCGGGGTAACACATGGCAAACACCAAAACATCAATGACTCCTTCACTGGAGAATCTAACTCTCCACCATCCCTCGTGTGCGGCATTTCAAAACAACACGACCTTAATTACAGTCTTTGCACGAGTTCCTCAATCCACAATAAACCACAATAGGTAAGGATAATCAGAGCGCCTGCCGGAATAACCCCTGGTGAGTTACGAGGCTGAGCTGCTCTGCACTCCCCATCCGGCGTCCCCGCGCTAATGACAGCGTTTCCCGCAGCCGCACGTCTCCATAGCCCACATCCTCCCAGACAAATGCAACTGCTCCACCGTCTAAACATAAATCTGATTAAAACACCACGCCTGCTGAAATCCATGTTCACGTCCGCTTTTCCCTGCAGCGGCTCGTGGGCTGATTTCCATCCTGAATTTTTTCAGCCACATCATTTTTTAATGAGTCAGGGAAACATCCGAGCAATAAGAAACACGCGATTAGCGAGGACACGCAGTGATACAAGGTACACAACATAATTAACCATGGGACCAAGGTCCCCACACACACCGAGCCCCAACGGGAATCACTGACCTGCCTGAACTTCTGATAGATCACACCAAACTTGAACGTGTTGTTGACCTCGTGCTCATCATAGGACACAATCATCTGAGACGCCTGCAGCAAAACGAAGTAGGAATCATTGCATTTGGTAGCTCAAAACATCCTCCCCAAGAGACAAATACAGGACCAACGTGGGCTAAGGCACCTCACCTTGGGGTACAGCACCGGGTTAAACTTCAGCCCAGAGGCGTCGTCACAGAAGGCCTGGGGACAAGGGCAGAGAGCAGTCAGCGCTGGGTCCCCAGTGTGCGGAGCAGACACCCTGGTCCTGCCGAAACTCCACAGCAAGGCTGTGAATGTCTCATATGGGAGCCAAATCCAGCCTCCAACTGCAGGAGCAGAAGGAAGGCCCTTCACAGCCTTCCAGTGGGATGCCCTGTGGCCGGTACCCAACCGAGGGTGCAGCAGGACAGGTCCCAGGCCTCTCCACGGGTCAGAGGTGCTGCCCCTTCCTCAACAATTTCTCCAGATATCAACCAGTGACCTGACCAGGACCAGCAGGAAACCAACAGCGGGGCCAGCACATACCAACGCTCGCCAAGCACCCCTGGACCCAAGAGCCCAGGCACTGCTGCCCAATGCTGCTCAACTCAGCCCAATGCTGCTCAACTCAGCCCAATGCTGCCCAGCACCACCCAATGCGACCCAACACCACCCAATGCGACCCAACACCACCCAATGCGACCCAACACCACTCAACGATGCCCAATGCTGCCCAACACCACTTAACGTTGCCCAACAGCACCCAAGACCTCCCAAGGCACTGGGCACCGTGGCACAGGCTCTGCTGCAGTACCCCAGCCCAGCACCTTACCTTTGCGATCTGGGGGATGCTGGGGAGTTTGCTAAATCCTGCCAGGGGGATCCTTTCGTGCAACGTCTTCACTTTGGACCTAGCAAAGAAACAGAAAGAGCAGACATCAGGGGGTGTCCAAGCCCCCTGCTCGCCAGCCCAAGGCTTGCACTCAGCAATGCTCCGCCAGCTGTGGGAAACGATGCTCCGCAGAATTTGTCAGGCCTGGGTAATAAGCAAAGCCCCCATTTTAATTCTCATCTCTGCAGCTCTTAAAATATTCATAGTTTGGAGAGAGATAACACAACAGCTCAGCCACGCTGGCTCTTGTCAGCTTAGGGAGGGAAGGCGACAGACGTGGCTGCCCGT